ACGCGGTCGTGGCTCCGATACCAACTGTTATGTGCCTGATTGAAAACGAATCCAGCATAGCATACACATGTTCCCATACACATGCGAAATTGCMAGTAGACTTSGAGAGAGAAAATCCACACCAAACCGGATGAKGAAATTGCACAGCGGAAGCACACAAATACCAAAAATAGAATTGAAACGAAATCAATTCTAATTTACCGTCTCTCCCAGTTCAATCAACAGCACAACTCCAAGAATCCCAACCACGTTAACAACATCTATGAACAAATTATTTACAGAGTTTCATCGAGGGAGACTTCTTCTTCCTCCCACACCTTCGAGCTCACAGCTATGGCGCAGGCCTGCGCCCAACCTATCAAGCCCACTAATCGCCACCAACCCTTGTATCCCCAAACAGTCACTCAGCAGTTCAACCGCGATGCCCACTGCAGATGACGTGTCCGATCAGCAAGGAGGGAAGCTCCCTAGACGAAGAAGCACAACAGCTCGATGAAGATGGTGACCTGCCACTTTGAAGCAGGCATGGAAAAGCTGCTTCGATGGCAGCTGTCAAAACCCCAACAGAACAGCGGTGGAGGAAGCATCTCACAAAGCAGGGCCTGATGCCCCGGGGCCAATTCCACACAARCCAGGTAAACCCAGCTATGGCTGTCAGCTTCCCTTCMACGAGGAAGGAGGAGCAGCACTTGGAATTAACGCAGCTTCAGCAGCGACCTCCAGCAGCACTTCGTGAAAAAAAAATGACGAACAGAACCCCTAAAACTTTGCCCTCGGTACTTTTGTTCATCTCCAGCCTCCCGGACCCGACAGCCTACAGCTTAGTTTTGCATCTACAGCCTAGGACCGTATCTAGACAGAAAACAGCACCACAGGGGAGAGGCCTACGTTCCTCCTACTGAAACAACCCAAAACAGCCCGAAGGATCTATGACCAGCCAACAGAGACTGCTGCTGACAGGTCTAGGGATTGAGTCCAACACGGCTCAAAATAAACAGGCAAACACAGCCAACAAGCAAACAAACAGACAAACAGGTTGCGGGATCAAATCCCAAAGGACTCAAAACCAGGCAACATCACACAAGGTTAGCGTACATCTCCCATGCCACTGCAATTCATTGCACTCGTCTGCAGGCGCAGCATGTAACAGTGTGTGTGTGTGTGTGTGTGTGTGTGTGTGTGTGTGTGTGTGTGTGAGTGTGTGTGCGTGTGTTACCTTACGTTACCCATGACGCAATACGCCACGAACCCCGCAGTACTGCGGTACGACTGTTCAGGCCATAGGATTTCAAGGCCACACCCGGTCTTATATGTATCCCTCTCTTGTCAAAGCAACCTTCAATGGTTATATGCCATCCATACCCTCGTATCCATAGGGATAAAAAAAAGGTCCAGAATTCAAATTCATAAATTTCATTCATAGGGTTGGATCTAGGACACAGTTCCTTGTTGGATAACAATGATAAGGCAGGCATAGAATGCAAAAGTCAGGAGCGAGTAGACCATCCATCTGAGGGAGTGATGAAAAAAGACAGTCGGAGGCACAGATCTGTTGTGACTGTCGGCTCTTAGTGTGTTGATCTCATAACTGAGTGCCAGGTTGGCCCTCATATGATTCCGTAAGACTTCCTGGTCTCGATCCCTACATTGGATCATGGAGTCCTCAACCAAGTTCAGGATTGCACCGTGGTCATTGTAGACCTCAGAGAAGGTGGAGGCCGTCCAATGTCTAATTTCTTCAGAGTCATCGGCAGACGGGGGCTCAGAATGGTAATCTGGGTTGATGGATGGGGAATCACCTCTTCGTATGAGGATGTATATGAGCAAGGCAATGCGTTTCTCAGTTGTAACAATCCTGTCTCGGAGCATTTCTATGTCACAAGGGGGAGTGTCCATGTCCGTCGTCAATCTGTTTATGCGTCAGTAGCTGTGACGCAAAAGGGATAATGATTACCTGGGCCTGTCACCAGGCAGGGCTAGGTGATCCAAGATACGCGAGCCTCATACGTCGATAGCGTCATGGTAGGTCAAGGAGAATCATATCATTGGTAGAACGATCCGGTCTGGTTTCCAGAAACTACTACGTTATTACTTCATCCTTATGATGCCAATGGTGATTCATCAATGGGGTGCGATTCCGCACATCGTGAGTAACTATTTCTAGGAAAGAATTTGTGTACAGGAATCATCCTCCTCATGATCCTGCGATCGGTCAAGAATCTCAGTCATGTCGATCATGCAGATAGTAATGGAAGTATCACCTATATATGTTGAGCGGATTAGTATAACTGGAGCTCGGGTATTATGGTTTGGGAGTCTCAGGTTGGCGGTGCTGATAAGCGGGGGGATGACAGGGCAATATCCAAGCCATGGGACCGAGCACAGGATATTCTCATGGCTTGTGCAGGTCATACCGTCATGAGGAGAACGGGATCATGGTCCTATCACTCAGTCCATTATGGGCTTATTAAGTCCAATCGACTTCGTTACCCTGGTAAGGGCATGAAAAAGTTGTGTATAAAGCTTTCAGATTCTAATCCCCAAAGAAAATCGGGTCCACATTGGTTCGTAGTTTGATCTATTATGTGATCAAACCTTCGATCATCAAGCATCCCATGTTATCTTCTGAGGTCATCATATATTAGGAGAACGAGTCCTGCCTCTATGGTGCCTTCTACTTGTGTACTGGAAAAAAACAAGAAATCCTAAAACAAAGAGATGCACGTTTCTGCCAAGGGGTTCAAAGCCATGCAGTCAAGATCTCATCGTAATTGGATCCTGCATACCTATCAGTCTTACTTGGGTGAATTGTACTTATCAAAAAATGGAAGGAAATTTAGTCAAGAAGTGTCTGATGAGGACTTAAATTATGACAGCAGGATTCGTCGCTACAACCATATAAGTGAATCATTGTCCAGGGAATTAACTAAAGGAAGACACACATCCTGCCGCAAACCATTCCAGGGCAAGAGATAAGACCGTCTCTCTTTCATTCAACAAAGTGGGTTTGTCAATTTGGGAGGTCGCAGAAGGTATGGAAGTTGAACCGGGATCGAGTTCTATCCGCACTTTCCTCTGTTATAGCAATATCTCATCGGATGTGTCAAATTCTACTCAAAGGGAGTTTGGTCGTGGATATCAATGCCGTGAGGAGCCACCATGGTAAACCTTAGTGAGCATCCTAGGTGACGAGAAAGCATGCCATAGATCAAAGAATTTCCTCCGCAGGGATCAATCCGTATAGCCGCTTGAGGTGAAGACAGCCAGGGTCCACATAGTCGGAATCTCAAATCATGCATCATTCCTCAGAAAAAATAATAACATACTTATCGCTGACTTCAAACACCATATGGTGGTTCTGGTAAGGCTCCAGGTCATGGTACCATCGATCGCACTTTCGTGACGGTGACCGCTTAAAAAATATATTTTGATCAATGCGTCGACAAAAGAGGAATCCATTCATATTTCTGGAAACGATGGTGGCAAACGTTTGTCATGGCAATAGTATGGTCAGGAAAAATCTCACGAAGATACAAACGGAGGAAATACAATTCAATATCCTAGCATATCAAGAGATGACAATCAAGAAGGAACGACTTCAAATTGAAGATTATGGAGCCTCCAAACCATCATCTGCACATCGTTACTTCTGAGACTACCCTGCTCATCCTTTTTGGTGTCAAAGAGACGCTCCTTCCCTGGATTCATCAATATCATTGCGTCTCCTCAGGGGTACCAAGCTCTTTCCATTGAGCCAAGTGTACTCCCATATCTCCAATCATTAGCTCCTCCCTGTCGCCCTTCGAGATTAACAAGCTTTATTCTATCTACCTCAAGATCCTATTTCATCCTGGAGATGAAATTAAGGAGGACTGGTTGTAACTAAAGAATGCTGGAAACTCAGACTCTCCCAAACCATCCATTACTCATCTCTATTCTTGGAACACACCATGTCCGCCCCTTCCTTAGTTTTGGTAATTCCCTTTGCTCTCCCTCATAGGTACCAAGCTCCCTTCATCCGGCCAAGTGAATACGCATCCTCCCGGTCGTCAGCCCTTCCAACTCATCCTTCGAAATCATATGTCGAGGCAACCTTCAGTGGTTATATGCCATCCATACCCTCGTATCCATACGAATGAAAAAAATTCCAGAATTCAAAATCATACGCCAAAGTGACTACGCATCCTCCCGGTCGTCAGCCCTTCCAACTCATCCCTCGAACTCATCGAGCTCGTTCCATTTATTGATCATTAACTCTATATACTACCCTCGAATTTCCTACATAATACCAGAGCAAGTCTAGAAAAAATTGTCGTCATGGAGTGAGGAAGGAGTATCCTAAAGTGGGATGCTAACACATAGAGCCCTACACTCATCCCTGCTGTAGGCGTGGGAGATACTAACACAGGGAGCCACAAAAACGATTTGCATCCTAATGTCACACCTGATTACATCCATTACAGATCTGCATAGATAAGCGGATCCTATCTGGGACTGATCCAGTCAATATATGGGAATACAAGGCAAAGGTGAGGCCAGATAGAGGGTTCAAAGGGAGGGTAGGGAGAGCATCCTATTTAACAACATGAGTGTGGGTGCATTATAACGATAGTGCAAAAAGAACTCAGTCAATCCAAATGTAGGGCGACAGTAGTTCATAGAACAGAGAGCGGAGAAAATAGGCTAAGGCAAGGAGTAGTGTCTAGTCCAACCCATCGTGGAAAATGCAGAAGCCAAAAAAGGAAGAACGATGATAACACGAGGAGGCTTGAGGGTGAAGCTCCAAACAGCAGGCTGGCAGAAGAAGGAACAGGTCGCAACAGTTGAAGCAGGTAGGCTGTGTCGAGCCCCTTAAACGTTTTTCGCCAAATGCCACTGTTCAGCTCATCAGAGGGATTCAAATGCCTACATTCACAACACAAGATACGACACAACATTCCACACTACCACATTCTTCCAATACAGATAACGGCAGGTAAGTAGGGGATGGCATATCATACCGGTTCCTTGTCGCTCCGGGATACCACGAGGTCAGGGTATAGGATGCTATCCATGTCAAGAGCCGCCATAGCCAAAGCAATCCGAAGCAATCCGAGAGCATACACAAGCAAGCCTCCTTGTAACAGTACAACATTGTTTCCGAGAAAAGATGAATATGCAATGGTATGTATGGGAAATATATAGGAGAATAGGAGTAGAAGGCAAGGACCCAGTTGCTGGCAGAGGTCGGAAGAACCAACGGAAAGTGCGGGGCGTCAAAAAAAATCTTCAAACTTCGAGCGGGAAGGACCCCTTCGTTGTTCCTGGATGAATTCGGACTAGGTTAAGTACATTGCCCCTGGACCGGGGGGCGTGTGTCCCCTTTATTTTTCCCGGGGGGGGGAGGGGGGGGGCGGGTGGTCGGGTCAGCCTCCCATCGTAGGATCCTGAATCTTGATCCTTGCCTGGCTGTTCCACTAGGCCAAGGGAACGATTCTTGACGCTTCGGAGGTCTCTTAGGAAATTTGAGTCTGGGCCTAAGGTCCTATTAGTCGTACCAGCCTCATGTTGTAGCCTTTCTAGCAATTCTCACACGTTCTAATCCTGCGATCAACGGATCAATTCCTTGTTGGTATCTGGGAACTATGGGTTTCCCCAGTTACTGCTTGTCTCGATTTTGTCGCTACGCCAGGTCTGTCCGAGTTGTAGTGTACATTCCCAGTTGGTGTTTCCTTTAGGTAGGTCGCAGGGCATTGTTCCGTGGTAGGGTTCTAAAGATAAGCAGAAGGGCCACGGGGGGTTAATAAAGCTCGTTTCTCGAATTCTCGTACTGCAACCTTTCCATCCGGAGTGTAGTCCCATAACCAACTCCATTTTCCGTCAGGGTTAGAAAGTCTAAGGGTGCAGGGGCGGGTTTGGGGAGGACCAATACTCAGGGGTGACTTGTACCAAGGTACTACCATTGTTGCCTCTAGGTACTCATATAATCCTATGGTTCCTTCATGGATGCTCGATGGTTGGAATAGATTCCCTAAGTTTTGTGATAAAAAAAAATGAAAATCCTTTCTGATTATATAAACGTTTCTATCATACATGCGGCGCATCGCGACGCGCTGCAATGCACACGTGCGCCGCACGGCGCATCCCGCACGACACGCACGCACTGCATGCGGCGCACCTCCAAAAATGGGGGTCAAAAAAAAATAAAAAATTGTGAGGGGCGGTAGTAGACCAGCCCCCTGCTCGCGTAAAATAAGAAACGGGCAGCCAGATTTTTTTTGGAGGCCGCGCGTTGGCCCGCAAGCTTTTAGTAATCTGTAGTTCGGGTAACACTCTGTGTGTATGGTAGGGTTATTGCAGTCTGTATGGTAGGGTTCTTGTAGGCCAGATTCAGTCATGATGAGGGTCGCGATTTCTCAAAACGTTCTCTTCTTATTACTTCTGAGGTAGAAAACGACGGAACTGACAGCCGTTTTTCCTGGAATGGAAAAAAATCAAGAATTTCTTTGCACGAGTGTCGCCCAGCACGTCCAACCTGTCAGAACCTCAACGGTAATTGCAGTCTGTATGGTAGGGTTCTTGCAGGCCAGACTCAGTCATGATGAGGGTCGCGATCTCTCAAAACGTTCTCTTCGTATTACTTCTGAAGTAGACAACAACGGAACTGACAGTCGTTTTTCCTGGATTTTTTTTTTTTTAATAAAAAGAAAAAAATGTAAAGGAAGAA